GATGGCCACTCGCTAGCTTTTAAGACCCCAGACGCCACTCACCAAAGTGAGATGCAGAACATTTTCTTAATAAACTTTGTTATGCCAATTGACCTAGATGTCCCCTGAACCCATAGGGTTTCTAAAGAGCAACTGGTGGATTCCAACTGCCGACCTTTCGGTTAGCAGCTGTAGCTCTTAACTACTGCGCCACCAGGGATCCTGCTGTATCTATAACGAGTGGTTATATATGGTTTTTGTTTCCTAGGGCTTACTGTTTATGTGCAGATTTTAAGTTAAGCCTGAAGAACTGGTGGGATCATGTCAGCAAAGCAACCACAAATTAATTTGAGGAGTGGCAGTTAGTTTTTAGTAATTTTTTATTGAAATATAATGGTTACAGAAGAGTGCACAGATCAAAAGCAGGTAGCTTGAATTTTCACAGAGTGAACACATCCGTGTAATTAGCACCCAGATCAAGGAACAGTATTACCAGTACCCTAGAATCCCCCTTTGTACCTGCCCCCCATCCCCATCCCTTCAAGGGTTACCACTTTAGCTTGCCTTCTAACTGAATAGATTCATTTTGTCTGTTTTTGAACTTTATAGAAATGAAATAATGTAGTATGTGTTCTTTTTGTGTCTAGCTTCTTTTGCTCCAGATGTTTGTGAGATTCAGCTGTGTTGTTGCATGTATTTGTAACTTGTTCTTTCTCACAGCTGCATAAGATTCCAATGTATAAATATACCACAATTAATCTACCCTACTCTTGAAAAAATTTTAGTTGCTCCCGGTATTGGCTGTGATCGTTCTTTCACATATGACCATATGAATGCATTTTGTTGGGTATGTACCTAGTAGTGGAATTGTTGGGTCATAACGTATGTATATGTTCAGCTTTAGTAGGTACTGCCAAACAGCTTTCCAAAATGGTTGTACCAACTTACCTCTCCTACTAGCAACATGGTAGTTCCAGAGGAATTTTGTTTTGACATCATTTATTGTGGAAGTCTTGGGTTAGGTATTTTGTTTCAGGCTTATTGCCCCAAACCTGTCAGATGGTCAGGGACACTTGGCAGTTGGTGGCTTTGAGAATTAAGTGGTAAACCTGGGTTATCATCTCTATCTCCTTATGAGACTTGGCACTCTTCTCCTTGTGTTGTATGTGTCTATTCCCAATGTGTACCCCACTCACCCTGACTGTGTCTCAGGAGTCCATATCCTAGTCTTTGTGTTCAGTATAAGGCCCAACATTGTGCCTTACATATACTGAATATTAAGTAAATGTTTACTAAATGAATAAGCAGCTCAGAAGTCACACTGAGGCTGGATTTGCCATTCAGTTGCCTAATGTTACTTGTTTGGACTCTGGTGATCGTCAAACCTCAGAAGTGGCTTCTTGGACAACATTTTATTTTTGTCTGACAACTACAGAACAGCATTTCAGCCTGTTATGTCATTTTATCCTTCAGTAGTTGCAGTTATAATTTTTTGAATTATATGAACATCATACTAAATGAATTAATGTTAAATGTTTTGTTTTTCAGTGACTGAATTACTTCCCCCAATAACATGATTGCATATTTTAGCATCTTTAGTGTCTTCTAATGCTAAACATTTTCTGATAAGTCTTGATTAACGAGTACTTTTTTTTAAATTTAATGTTGTCTTTCTCAAGATGAACCTTCAATTTCTATAAAAAAAAATTCTTTGGATAACAGAATATTTGCATATGTATGAACTTTATTTCTCGTCATGTTATTCTTTCAAAATTGGGTTTTAGGGCAAACCTAAGAAGAATGAGAGCCTTTGGAGTGTAGCAAGAGGTGTTATTAGAATGTTACGAAAAAACTATGGCTGTGTCAGAGTGGATTTTGCACAGCCATTTTCCTTAAAGGTGAGTACCTGTTGAAATGAAACTGTGTGAAAGCATTGACCTGGAATCAGGAGACTTGGGCTCCAGTCCTAGCTCTAATAACCACCTTTCTATGTGACCCGGGGCCCCTCTTTCCTCTCCCGTAAAATGAGGACTCTGATGAGCAGTGCTGCCTAAATTTTTCCACTGAGGTATGACGATTGATAAAGAAGAGTGACTTTCTGTTCTTGGGAGGTGTTAGGCTCAATATTTCTTGCTATTTTATTTTTAAAATCATGAGAATTTTCAGTTTTTCTTCATAATATATATAAGTGCTTCATATTATGTTTTAAAATTGCTTTTAGGGGAAATTTCTCAAAACATTTCCCCTAAAAGCTTTGGGTAAAATTGACAATCTAGAATGATGCTCTATCCTGTTTTGTGGAACCCAGTACTCACATGTCCCAAGGGATGATGCTGTTTCTTATTGAAAAGCCTGGGACTGGCAGGTCTCTGTGGTCCTTACAACTTTTAAGTTTCTAAGATTTTCGAATGGTAAAGGAGAGAAGGATGGATAAGGGGAACGGAATCCAGGGATAAGGAGCAGATGTCCTGCTTCTCTTTCTGTTTCACCTCTTGGTTTTACTTTAAAAGATTCTAACTTCCTAACTGCTATGTCAGGTGCTTTCTGGCCTTATGTGCTTTCAGCTTTTAGGAACCTCATTTCTTACCACTTTTGTTTTTTTTTAAACTATTACACAGTTTCTCTGTCTTGTTTTGATTTACTTTTTGATTGAGGTTTCCTTGAACATTACGCTGCTCTCAAGCTGCCAGAATTTCTTTAAAAACTGTGATTGTGTTGATGATCATTATTAATAATATTTGAAATACCAAATAATTCCATGAAGATGAGAAACGTTAATTTCCTCCCTTACTTTTTAAATAATTTTGTGTAAGCATCATCCTGTTATTTGTATCTATATTTCTTAAACTGCATGCTTATTAACATTCTGTGAATCATTTTGACCTCTGAAGTTAGCTTTAGGATACAAAAATGTACTTCTTATCCATATCTCATTTTATAAACAACTGCTTTTTTACTTTTTGAAGATAAAATTATATGTTGATAGGAAAGTGAGAGTGAATGGTCACGTTGTAATTTTTTTTTGCAGGAATATTTGGAAAGCCAAAGTCAGAAACCCGTGTCTGCTCCACTTTCTTTGGAGCAAGCATTGTTACCAGCTATACTTCCTTCAAGGTAAGGCTCACGGAAGTTTTTATACCTAGCTAAACTATCAAATATTTGTTTTTGTGTGTGTATGTGTGTGTTCTTTGCATTGCAAGGAGAAATAGATTCACTTTACTAAAACATACATTTCATGTTTTCACTTCTTCAGTTGAATAATTTTTTTTGTCTCAAAGGCTATTGAAATTACTTGTTTTCATATTAGTTTGGAGGTTTTTGATGATTTGTATTATACAGTTTTTTTGATGTGAATCATGTAGGGGTTCTTGTTTTATTTATGCTTTTGAATGTTTGAACTGCTTTTGATAGGAGCTTAAGTTATGCATGTTATATATAAATGCAATGTGCAAAAAAGTCTTGTTATTTGAAGAATTCAGACTGATTTATTAGAGACATTGAATATTAAACCCTTCATTTAATATATGATATGTAGAGGTGTTGAATTTTTAGAAATGTTTTAAAATGTATCTTGCTTTATACATTCTTTCTGCCAGTGGATTTTAAATGTATGGAAACCCTATGTATTCATACTAAATAATATGTTTTTTAAATGTTATTCAGAAAGTTACAGCTAGGAGAGCATATTAAGCACAATAAAAAGTATTATGGAGAGAAAACTCACACACACACACACACAGAAATAATCTATTTGTGGTTTAAATTTGAAACATGTAGTATTTCTAAACAAAAGTATGTATTACATTTATAATTAGTCCCATATAATTGATTTATAAGAGTGTGGTTTGTAGAAGCCTGATTTTTTAAAAAAACTTTTCAGACCAAATGATGCTGCTGATGAAGGAACAGACACTTCCATTAATGATTCCAGAAATGCAACAGATGAATCATTTCGAAGAAGGTTGATTGCAAATCTGGCTGAGCACATTCTATTTAGTAAGTCGAATAGCAAACTCTAATTCTGCAATTCAGATTTGGCATGGTGCAGTGCAAACCATACGGGTTTTGGAATCTGCAAGGTTGGATTTGATTTCTGGTTCTATCATCTAATACCTGGGTAGTGATATATAGTTATTAGGAAAAAAGATGATGTTGTGGAGATTTGAGATAATATGAGTAAAGCATCTCACATGGTCCCTGATCCTGAGTAGGTGCTCATGTAGTAGTAGTTCCTGTGCTAATAAAGATTAAAAAAAAAAAATTTTAAAGGGTGTTGTCAAAATGATTTGTTGCCTTTTTTGCTCATGAATCTGTTTCTTTGAACTAACTTGTATTACAATATCTAGGTTGATTGTTACATATCCTTTTCCCCCCTAATCCCATGCTTATCTTTATTTAACAAACATCGAGTAGCTAGTATGTATTAAACTTTGTTTCAGCTGTGGGAAACACAAATTGAATAATAAATGACCGTGCACTCAGAAAGCTATGCTCCTGTCAGCAGGATAGTTGTACACAAATAGTTCAAGTGGGAGTGACCCAGAGTGGGGTGTGAGTTGAATGCAGAATTGTGGAATGTTGTAGTGAGGCCACTTTAAAGTCCACTGTGGCCCTTTGGTGCACAGCCTAGGCAGGCAGACCTCCTGCTTCTCACCATTTCTCGTGCTGAGTCCCCGTTCAGACTCTCAGCACCTCCTGCCTACACTATCCTGGACCCTTCCATAATTTTATCTCACTTCTTCCACTCTAGCTGCTCCTATTCCTACCTTACCTTGGGCCGGAGTATTCTTTCTTAAGCTCATTTGATTGCGTCTCTTCCCTGCTTAAAACCTGGACTCTATAAGTAATCCATTCTCATTGTTGAAAATTTGGAAAATAAAAAATGAAATAGATATCAAAATACCCACTACCCAAATAACTAGTGGTGTTGCTCTCTAGTTTCTAAAAATACTTTAAATATTTTCTCTAAAAAGAAGTATAACTGAAGCTTTGTTTTTGCCTTCCAGCTGCTAGCAAATCCTGTGCCATTATGTCAACACACATCGTAGCCTGCCTGCTTCTCTATAGACACCGGCAGGTATGTCTGCAATGTCACCAGCGCAAAGTAGACAGCATGAGAGTGTTTTATCAGCTGTGCAAACACTGATAGATTGAGCCCACCCCATGCTAGTACTGTAAGATAAACAGTAGTATAAGTTAAGGACCCTCCACACAGAAGCCTATAAACCTGGTGGAAAAAGAAAACTACATTAAAAAAGAAAATCAGAGACTGCTTAATACATGTAATAATAAGACATTCCTTGGGTAATATAGTTAACATAAATAAGGTATATTTCATTGACATGTGGTAAATAGCCAGATAGCTACTAGTTTCCAAGTTATTGGATTTATACTTTAGGATCTTCTGTCTACCCGCCCGCAATCCTCTTGCCTAAGTTCCATGATGAGACAGACCATGTCTGTCTTGTTCATAGTTGTGTTCTCAACAGCAAGCATTGTGCCAATACGTAGGCACCACATAAACATTTGTCAAATAAACATTTAAAAGTAGGGAAATTCCTCCACAGATTTAGCACTTCTTATTTTCAGACGGATCTCATGTGCTCCTATTACATATTATGGCTAGAGTGCTCTCTGGCATGTGGAATACCTTCTCTCTATTCCCAGTGGCCCAGCTTCTTAAGTGGCTTTCTGTCTTGCTCTGCATTGGTGTTCTGATCCTACTTCTGTATGTGCCAACCGTGAGCTGCAGGAAATCCAAAAGAAAAAAGAAAAATTCTTGGAATGTTGAACTTTTGGAAAGAGGGTTTTTTGCTGTCACAAGACCATTTCTGTCTGTTACTCTAGGGGATTGATCTGTCCACATTGGTGGAAGACTTCTTTGTGATGAAGGAGGAAGTCCTGGCACGTGATTTTGACCTGGGATTCTCAGGAAATTCGGAAGATGTGGTCATGCATGCCACTCAGCTGCTGGGGAATTGTGTCACAATCACCCATACCAGCAGGAATGACGAGTTCTTCATTACCCCGAGCATAACTATTCCATCCGTCTTTGAACTCAACTTCTACAGCAACGGGGTTCTCCATGTCTTCATCATGGAAGCCATCATGGGTATGTCAGATCCTGAAAGAATTTAAGATATATTAATGGAAAATAAAAGGGCCTAAAGCACCTAGTGGTGTCTGCTTCCGTTTGGAGGGTAGCCCCTTAATGAGAGAATGCATTGCTATATTTCTGGTTTTCAAACGAAAATTTAATCTGTTCCAATATCACTGTTTATAGTTTATTTTTTCCATTTATTATTCAACAAGAGAATACTGAATTACTGTATGCATAGTATTATAGTCACTACTAAGGAGAGGTAAGGTGTCTTGTTGTCCAGGTCTAGTGATTGAGATAAGACATACATATGGTAGTGAAGTGCATGAAGGGGCTCATTTGTGATTCAGAGATGACAGAGAAGGAGAGCAGGGCTGCTGAAGCTGGTGGAGAAGGTGTCTGACAGAGCTGGGATTGCTGGAATCCTAAGAAATGAGCCCTGGGGGGATTTACTTAAATTTTCTCTAGTTCATGCAGATCATTGTTTTTGATGTGTTAAAAATCTATTAAAATAATCCACGTTATCAGAGTCAGTTGAAGTTTTTTCTTGGAATTCGAGAGCTGCAGGCCATCATTGCTTTTATTTCCGCAGCCTGCAGCCTGTACTCAGTTCTGAACAAGAGGTGCTTGGGAGGGCCTGCCGGTGCCCCTCCCGGCCTGATTAGCCAGGAGCAGCTGGTGCGGAAGGCTGCCAGCTTGTGCTATCTGCTCTCTAACGAAGGCACCATGTCACTCGTAAGTGAAGACTCTTCAGTGTCACCTCTTTATCTTTCCAGCCTTTTGTTTTCTTGAGTGTTTCCATGGCAACGTAAACCACCTTTGTTTTTTTCTTAGAGAATTTTTGGTCCATTTTTGAAGCTTTGCATTCCACCTCTGGGTTTCAATGGCCACCAAACAAATGGTGGCCACTTACTATCTTGGTTTGCTCTGTGGGTCACTGCTCCAGTGAACGTTTCATACAGCTAGGAGGGCTCATAGGACACATTGCTCAGTGCTATCAGTCAGTCAGATCCAAAGTAAATTATTGTGCTTAAGGCACTGGGTCAGAGGTTAGTAAATAATTAACGCTCTTGCCATGGATGATAGGACCACAGAAGGGAAGAGTCAGAAATAGCCTTAAAAACCTTCTGTTCAACCCCCTCTCATTTTACAAATGAGCAAACTAATGTTCAGCACCATAATGTTAAGTTTAACTTTCTAGTTTAATCTAAACCCCAATTTTTATTTTTAATTAGCTTTTTCTGAATGTTACTCCAGATGGTAGCCTGTTTTTATTTGCATGAGCATTCATTTTATATGAGACTTACATATTAAGCAGAAGAGAGATTTTTTTCACTTGCCTCGTGGAGTGAGGTAGGTGGGTGATGGAAGCATTTGGCAGCTACCTTGTCCAGCCTTTTCTTCCATTAAAGAAAAGTATAGAACAGTGACATTTACGTTCAAATGCCTTTGCTTTTCAGCCCTGCCAGACATTTTACCAAGTTTGCCACGAAACAGTAGGAAGGTTTATCCAGTATGGCATTCTTATAGTGGCGGAGGTAAGAGGAATAGCCTTCCTTGATTTACCCTTGTTTAGTTGCTCGTTCTTTATTTCTCTACCTTTTCTACCTTCTACTTTAGCTAGTAATTACATTTGATATGTAATTATGTTCAGATGAAGAGAAGAGAAAAATAATAATGGGATGAATAATGTCTTTAGGGATTGTTTAATATTTTGGTTCTTCTTCTATAACTGATGTTGTCTAAAACACATCTGGACTTGACTTCTTTATGACGAGAAGTTTGCATTCTAAGACGAGATGCTGTACATGTCAGCGTGCTTGTAGCCTGCGCATACATATTTTTCTCTTTTGAGATCTTGTTTTAATTTTGGTAGATTTAGTGGCGAGGCTGTGGTCTGGGAAAATAGACACTGACTTAGAAGATGTGAGGTTTTTTGTTTTTTTTTTAAATAGACTATTTCTTTAGAGCAGTTCTAGGTTTACAGAAAACTTGTGCAGAAAGTACAGAAGCTCCCACCCCCTGCACACAGTTTCTCCCTTTCTTCTATTATTAACATCTTGCTTTCTTTTGGTACATTTGTTACAACTGAAGAACCAATACTGATACGTTATTTTTATCTAGAGTCCCTAGTTTACATTAGGGTTCTCTCTTTGTGTTGTACAGTCCTATGGGTTTTAGCAAACGCATCCTGTCATGTGCCCACCATTACAGTATCATACAGAATAGTTTCACTGCCTTGACAATGCCCTGTGCTTCACCTCTTCATTCCCCCCACTGCTGTGAGGGTATTTTTATTTGATCTATCTAGTAGCTCTACCCCCCAACGCCTTGCCTCCCCCCGACCCCTTCCTCCCTGCCCTCTCCTGAATAATTTTGAGTTTGGAAAAGGAAATGGACTGATGTTGTGAATGGCTCAGCAGAGAAGTGTCTGGAAGGGGAGGAGAGAGGACTGCTTCGTCTGGGGCCCAGCTGGGCAGTTGTTTGTGTGCCTGTGCATAATTATTATTGTTGGTCATCTCCTCTGCACAGCAAGACGATCAGGAAGACATTAGTCCTGGTCTTGCTGAGCAGCAGTGGGACAAGAAACTTCCTGAACCTTTATCTTGGAGAAGTGATGAAGAAGATGAAGACAGTGATTTCGGTGAAGAACAGCGAGATTGCTATCTGAAGGTACTTTGGTAAAAAATTCTGGGGGGCATTACAATGATGAATTGAGGCTTATGTTGCCACAAATTTATGAAGTTTTTCTAAACCAGGATTGTGGTAACTTATATTTAATCCACTCATGAACCAGCTGTACTTTGCGTCTAGTAAAGACACTCAAACTGTTTGAATTCAATTAATACCTTAAATTATTCAGTTTGAGTAAATGGAGAAGGAAATAAGAGTCAGATATTCAGGCAGATGAACATCATTGGTGATATCTCTCAGGACCCTCTCATCAGAATACACAGTACATACCTGTTTACCCACACCGGCACCCGCTCCTCCCTGGGCAGTATTTTAGTTCAGACACTGACAAAGCAGGGCAAGTTTACCAGGTGTGATAGAGAGGTGACTGTTTTGCTGTCATTGGCCTGGTTGGCATCCCTTCCTGCTGCTTTTTGAGTCATTCTCAGTCTTGCCCTCCTGCCCGAAATTTCATACATGGAGCTCTCTCCTTTCAATGAAAACAAATCCTATCGCAGGAAGAATCTGGATTTTTAAAAGATTGATTTTTCCTGATTTAGAAAAATCATGTTTTGTCTAACTTGTAATTTTAGAAATTAGTACTAGTGACCTATCTTTAATGAATGCCCTAAGTGGATCACTCTATACATGGGTGTGCGCGCGCGTGCGCGCACACACACACACACCCACCCCTACCCATCCACCCCCACACACTTACACACACTCACACAGAGTTGGGAGGTACAACTTTCAGAGATTCCAAATGACATTTAGAAGTTTCTCTGTTTTTCCATTTTTGGTGTTATTACCGTCAGTTCCAAGATTGGGCAGTGGTCTTACTTCCACACTCCAAAGGAGCTGAACTGAACAGCGCGTTTTGAGGGGGTGCAGTGACAGCCTCCTTTGCCAGGAAGCACCCTATCACCACCACCATCATTCCCTGGAGTGCTGAACCGTGGGCTGAAGGCCTTGGGGTGGGGGGGTGCAGAAAGTGGGGGCTGGGGAAAAACGGAGATGATCTCAGTGGTCCTAGCACATGACCTTTTTACGCACTCAAATGACTGTTGAACCCAGGCTTTAAACCCTGTTGTGTCTAGCCTCAGAGCCAGCCATCCTCAGTGACAAGACTATGTCACAATTATGTCATTCAATTATGAAAATCTCTTCTAGGCAGTTATTTAAAGACTGTAAGCCTCAAACAGAGTAAAAGTGAACGATGACAATAAGAACACGTTTTAAAACCAGCCGTTGTTTCCAACAGCGGTTCCCTGCACGTGGAGCAGAACAGAAGGTTCTGTGTCAGCTTGCTTTGTTCTCATGGCCTTTTCCAGGACTTCACTTACTTTCCTTGTACTCCCAGGTGAGCCAATCCAAGGAACATCAGCAGTTCGTCACCTTCTTACAGAGACTCCTTGGGCCTTTGCTGGAGGCCTATAGCTCTGCTGCCATCTTTGTTCACAACTTCAGTGGCCCTGTTCCAGAGCCTGAATATCTGCAGAAGTTGCACAAATACCTAATAACCAGAACAGAAAGAAATGTTGCGGTGTATGGTATGTTAAGTCACTTTTTTTTTACTGTTTAAAATAACAGTGTTCTTTTGATTATAGAAATCTGCTAATTGTAGAAAATTGGAAAGATACAAAATTATCCTACCCTCTAACACAGTGGTGTTGTTGCCGTCCAGTTGATTTCAACTTACAGCAACCCCATGTGATGGAGTAGAACTGTCCCATGGGGTTTTCTGGGCTGTAATCTTTGTGGAGGTAGATTGCCAGGTCTTTCTCCCTCGGAGCAGCTGAGTGGGTTTGAACCGCCCGGTTACAGCTGAGCACTTAACTGTTGTGCCACCAGGGCTCCTTTCTAACACAACAGATTATTGTTAATATCTGTTTTTTATGTTATATAAATTATATCATGAAGTTATGTGCTCTCGTGTCAGTTTTTTTTTTCTTTTTTTCACTGAGCGCTGGTTGTGAGATTCATTCACATTGTTGTGTGTAGTTGTTGTTTATTCCCTCTTGTGGCTGTGTAGGATTCCATTATGTACATATTGACTACATTGTATTTATTCGTCCTACAGTTGATGGATATTTGGGTTATTTGAAGTTTAGAGCTACTGTGAGTAGTGCTGCCGTGAACTGCTTGACTGTCTCTGGGTGAACGTGTGTAGTCATTTTTGTGGGGTATATCTCTGGAAGTAGAATCGCCAGATCATAGGGAATAGAATTGTTAAGTGATCGTATGATTTTACACTCCCACCAGCAGTGTGTGAGAGTTTCAGTTGCTCCACATCCTGGCCAACACTCAGTGTTGTCTGTTATGCCATTTTTTTGATAAGGATTGTGACTGAGGTGGGAGTAGCGTTTTATACAGTGATGTTTTGGAACATTACTGAAACTACTTTTTAGAGCCAGAGAGATCTAGGGATAATCCGTTCCAATCACCTCAGTTTACAGATGGGGAAACTCTAAGGTCACATAGCTAGTTCATGGGCAAACCTTGGTTTAGAACTCTTGTTTTCTGCCCTCTAGGCTCCTGCTCTTTCTGGTTCCAGATGTGGGAATCATTGGTGCATCACTGTGCATTATAAAATAATGTTTACACATCATTGCATTAGATGCTCCCAAAAGCCCTTCAGGATGGATGTTTTAGGTTATTCCTCTTCCTTCCTTTCCTACCCTTCTCTCCCTCCCTTCCGTCCCTCCTTCTCTCCTTCTTTTCCTCTTCCCTTCTCCCTTTCTCCCCTCTCTCCCTCCCTATCTTTTTTCTTAATAGATAAATTAGATTTAAAGAAGCATCGAATATTCGAGGCCTCACAGGTTGCCAGCAGCAGAAATGGAGCTTGACCCTGGTCCGCCGCCTTGCCCTAATCCTCTTCATAGACTTCCACACTTCTTTACCGTGGGCATTGGGAGTCCGGGGTTTTGCTGGCCTAAACATGTGACAGTCCTTTCCTTTCTCCACAGCTGAGAGTGCCACGTATTGTCTTGTGAAGAATGCTGTGAAAATGTTTAAGGATATTGGGGTAGGTGTCCGACACTTATAGTGTAAAGGCTTGTGTTAACTTCTGTTCCATTTCTATTTAGATCTAATCTGCACCTCGAGCCACCTTTGTGACGAGGTAAGCCCCGAGAGAAGCAGTTTCTGCTGGGTCAATCATGAAAGCATTTCTGGGGATCAGGGGGAAGGGGGATATTGAACGTGAGGCGCATCAGTGCAGACTTACTTGAGTGTTCCACAATTTTGCTGGATTTACATTCATTCCAAAACTGAAAACGGTTTATATATAGCAAGTGCCAATGTGTTCCAAGTTGCTACCACAACTTTGGCAGAGGTGTTCATTATTTCATATGATTTTCAGTTATTTTCTTGTATTTTTATCGGTACTGCTAGGAGTATTCTCAGGTATCTTCTACCTTGAGGGCATATCATTGGGACATGAGTTTCATGGAGATACTAGTGGCTTTTTGTAAGGGACATTTGTGATTTTATGCTAACATAAATTTTAAAATACAGTACCTAGGTGAACTCCACCCAAAAAAAATACCCACATCCATAAACCCCTCCCATACTTACACCCACGTATACATTTACTTAAAGCAGGGATATGGTTTTATGTGCCTTTGCTGTCTTTCAGGGTTAAAGGTCCTTGAGTGTCTAGGGCACAGATCAGAGTTGGTGACAGAAATGTTCTGTTCTGTTGTTGTCTTAATAATTCAAACTTTCTCTTTAGGTTTTCAAAGAAACCAAACAAAAGAGAGTGTCTGTTTTAGAACTAAGCAGCACGTTTCTACCTCAGTCCAACCGGCAAAAACTCCTAGAATATATTCTGAGTTTTGTGGTGCTGTAGGTAACTCCTGGCACCCCTACAAGTGAAGGGCACGGGACGAGTACCTCGTAGGCTCCAGCCTCTGACTCGAGAGTAGAAGGTGCCGACTGTGGTCAGGCCTGGCCTGACCTGATGTGACCTCCTGGAAGACAAGTGCCTTCTCCCCTCCGTGGATCTGTGATCGTCCCGACTCCAAGATGACACAGCAGCCTACAGATAAGACTTTGGGGGGCCCCAGCCTCCGTTTGCTAATTATAATCAGTAGATTACAAAATGAAATCTTGATAAATTATTTTAGAGTTTATTAAAGATTTACATTTTAAGTACCACTTTTAAGGACTAATTACTGTGAGGGACACAAAAACGTAGTTGTATGCTAAACTGAAACTTGTGTAGTAAGTACGCTTAATGCTGTCAGGGAATTCCTTGGAATAGTTTCTGATTAATGGTTAATGCTTCCTTTAAAAATAATTGAGTCATACGTGCACTGTTGTTTTTTTTCGGCTTTATCAATAGTTACTGTATTTTAAATGGGAGCACCTTTCGTTCCAAAGTGCTTTACAAGCGAATGGGCTGAGATACACCATGCTAGGTACCACTGTGCTGCCCGCTTTAGTCAGCTTTGGAAGGTGTTCTAAGAGCTACGTGACGACTGACAGTTCAGGTCAAAATAAAGCTAGTGTGATCCAACAGCTAACGTCAGGAGGTAGATTTGGCTGGCAAAATTTAAGGTAAACTTGGCCAGAAAACTGGCTTTGAAAACCTTTGCTCTCACAGAAGAGTGTCACTGAGTTTTAAATGACCAGCAAGTATTTAGGAACTCCTCCTGTTTCATGTCTGTGCCCCCTCCCGCCCCCAGCTCTCCCCCAAGTGCTACCTCTCACAGTAGGTAGCTGTATCTTGGAAATCCCCCAGCCACCTAGCAACTGTCCTGGCTAGATTACTTGGCCTGATAGACTGTTAGCATAAGGCGCCCCGGCTCTAGGCTCCTGACCAGGGGCTGCCGGCCACTGCACACAGATTGTGCACTGCGCCCCAGTCTGGGTGCCTGGCACCCACGCAAGTTGTGCAGAACACAACCTGTGCACTGTATGCGGTGGCCCTGCTGGCTGGGAAGTGGCCAGAGGCATTTATGGAGTTTTTAGCCTTGAAGGAAAACTATGGTCCTTTAAAAATTTGTGTGGGCTATGTACTTAAATCCCAATGCCACAAAGTGGCAAATGATTATGAAAAATTGTTCATAATGGGTAGGTGCCTTTTTATGAGCAGGAAGCATAACTGTTACCTAATTCTGGTAATTATGGTGATTTCTTAAAGATTACATAATATGAAAGTATTCTTTGACAACTTACTGTATCTTAACGCCATACCATTATGGAAGTAGGAATTTTCCTTGATGAATGTTGCATATCTTCTTTGAATTTAATATAAAAAGTACTCAGAATTAAATTTGTGCTTTTATAAGCTTGGATTTTAAACACTAATAGTATCTCATATATAATATGTGTATGTGATTGGGAGAGGAAGGGATACTGATTGATATTTCATGTTGTATGAAATTTCTCGTCTGAAACTCATAGCAATAACACTGTATACACTTGTGATCTTCTTCCACTTGTCTCAAATTCTGTATTTAAGATACATTCCTTCTTTGTCTTTATAGGGCCTCATGTACCGTTAAGTCATCGTCAGTGATGTAGCAGCCTTGTTGTGGGGTTGGATATTCTACTGTTAGCATTCCATTTTACCAAATGGGATGGAAGAACACTGCTTCTTTTGGCTGGAGCTCTGCATTTGTGCAAGTACCTGGGGAGGCTTATTTATTCTCTTGGGTGTTCCTTATCTGGGGAGTCAAACATTTCACTAGTCTCTTTCGTTCCCACTAAATCATAGATCAAGGATTACTCAAACTCTGCTAGTTAGCTGGAAAGTCAAGGCTGAGGGTGACTTCCCAGTGGTTCCTGCTGCCTTGCCACTTCCGCAGAGCCGCTGCTCTGCCAGCCCAAGCAGAGAAACAGTGGCTTCTCTGGCTTGATTTTCACTTTTGGTTGGTTTGTTTGCCAGACATCTAGTGAGATGCTTTGGGGGCTGCAGTGTATGATTCTCTAGCGCTCATGCCACTTAACTCACTGTGAAAATAAATATGCATGCTTTTTGTAATTAACTGGTGCTTTGAAAACCTTTTTTAAGGAAGAAAAATCTCAACCAAAGTTATGCTTATCCAGACAAGCTGACCCTTGAGTTAATTTTAGCACAACTCATTCTTCAGTGCCTCATTACTGAGAAAGCATTCATCATCATAATAAGGCTTCCAGACAGCACTGTCTTTGCTAGCATATATTCTTACTGTTTTCCAAGAGCAGATGGCTTCCATGTCAGATTAAACCAACTAGGTGCTTGTAAATAATTTATTACAGTTTACTGCATTTCTGTGAAACTGAAATGCATGCCCTCCAGGGGAAGACTGTGAGTCAAGTTAAAAAAAATATTAACACAACTAATAATAAGCAATATGAAACTGCAGTCTGTTTTTTAAAATAAGAACGTCCTAAGTAATTCAGAAGAGAGGGAGGAATTTTTGCTCTCTTAAAACTGAGAGAAACAAAGGTGAAGAACTAGTGTGAAGTGTGTAGAACTAGCACTGTGAGTCTTCCTTCTCGGATCTGTTCAGTCTCACAAGGTCGTGAGGGTGACTGGAGAGTCCGTCCTCAGGGATTGCAGTGAACGGAAGCTCAGATTGTGGAACTGCCAGTGACGTGAAGGGTGAAAAGCATCATCATCGTGCTCCATGTGACACGAGTGCCCTGTCAGGTGTTCATGGTGTTTTGTAGAAGAAGTGTTGCTGGTAAAAGAAGTTTGCCCGGGGATCCTGCCTCCTGGAAACTGACAGTGCACTTCAGTGCATTAAGGGCTCAGGATTCTATGGTAAAGAGCCTATTTAACCTGGCATTTCCCAAACTGTTGTGACCTAGGACCTTTTCTCCCTTTGAGACATCTGTGAACCTCTCCCAAGTGTTCCATGGACCACATTTTGGGAAAGACCATGTTAGGGAATTCCTTAAGGGGCCAAAACAGTAACTGACAGACGGCACTGAGGCAGAATTTCCGTGAATCTTGTACAATCAGCTGTTGGCGTTTGGTGGATATGTGTTTCTTCTCTGGAGATAATAAGCATAGCAAACTAGTGTCACAGGTGGCCAGAGCCCTTTCCTTTGATGGAAAGATCAGCTGTCAGTGGTCCTGGAGTTTTCACTGAAAGTAGGAAAATTACCACAAGGATCAATCATGGCAAATAATGAAGGTTTTAATTCAGATCTATGAGAAAACATTGCACAATTGATTGCAGATTTTTATCCACAGATATTTCTAGTGTTTAGAAATGATAGGACCCATCACTGAGGTTTATAACAGTTAATTTGAGAAATGTGGGATGTAAATCTGTTTTCTTCTCAAAACATTCTGTTTAGGAACTGGAGACTTGGCATCTGGCATTTTAGTTTAATATGGACTAATGATTGTATTTGAAAGAGCCTTTTGACCTTATATCTAAACATCTAAAGCTCTGAAATGCCTTGATGGAAAGTGTTAAGCTATTTGCCTATTGTACAAAGAAATGTTAGATTGTTGTAAAAGGAATTACTATAAAGTACTGTAAAATAACACTGTGTAATTCTGCGAACGAAACCCATTTGGAAATGTTGACTGATTTTTATGCCTGTTAACGTATTGTAAGAAGCGCAGAAATGTAGTTTTATTTTAATAAACCAAAAAAAAAAAAATGAAAATATTCTTGATGTCTTGCATTTGTAGTTAAAAATCCCCTGTATAATTCATTAGAAAAACAAGTGTTCTTATTTGACTTTACATAAAATTTTATTCAAATACTTATAAGAAATAATCTTACATAAATTTATCAACCTGCACTGCATAGTACTGTTATTGACGCAGATCTCTTCAAATTTGATCAAGCATTTGGAGATGTACATATCTACATGTTGCTATCGTTTTATTTAGTAAATATTCACACCACAGAGATACTGAGTTTCTGAAAAGATTCCTTTAAACTCGATGCTTTTCTGTCATATTTTTATATATTTAAGTTTATATAAGTATGCACTGAAGTGGTTGGAGATTTTTCCACTTGTTCATGATACTTGCTCAAAAAGTATTAGTTTAATTCTTTGAAAATTAAGAAAAGTATTTTATCAAAGTACAGGTGTAGTCGTGTAGATCCTTTGGAAGCCCTCAAACTTAGCCTGCCCTCAAGAGTGTGCCACTGGAAAGTGGCAAACACGAGCCTGGTCAGTGATGTTCATGCTCTTTGGGTACATGATTTGGCCGTGAACCTGATTGACACCCACGACCATCTTTTCTCCAGCCAGCCCCTGGCGTCTCTCCTGCCTGAGCCAGCCCCTCTTCTGACCTTTGTTCTTCAACCCTTCTGACTTCCTCTGAGATACTGTCATGCTTGTGCCCTCACTCCTTGGCGCATTCATCCTTCACATCAGCAACTCCCTTGCTGCTGCCAAACATTCCCTTCCTTTTATCATAGCAAAATTCTGACTTTTACAACCACTCAGGCTCCTTAAGTGGATATTAACCTTGAAGACTCATTTTTGGTGTTTTGTCCTATACTCTCTAATTTTAGTCTCTTCATTCATTCCCTTTTAGACTAGAACACATCTTGCTGTTGTCATCTTGTGGGTCAGAAGTTGTATGTGTGTTCCCGTCCTTCCAGTTTTCATGAAAAAGTACCCCCTTTGACTTTCAGCAGTGTCTAGGTTTGGATGATAGATTATATGGCTACTGTATTTATGAGACGTGCAGCTGCCAGTAATAGGTAGGGTCCTGCTGGAGTTGAGAAATAAGATACTTTTTTTAAAAATCAGAATTTCATGCATTTAATGGAAATGTTTATCAGTTATAAACATCTGGCCTTGCTGCTTCTTGAACCAATTTTAGTACTTACGGGGAAAAAGCAGAGAAACAGTCTACACCCCTGCAAGGAATTGCTCAGCTTTTCCCGAATCCCACAAAGCCCACCTCTTCCACTATCTTTGGAGAGCTTGAGGTCAAATTCTCGTGCTCCATTGTTTTCCTATTGTTGAAGTGTAGGCAAAGCTTCCCCTCTTCTATTTCAGCATTCTCGCCATGCACGTTGGGGAGGAGTGCCACCTGTCTTCCTTCACCCAATAGGAAGAAGTTGAGCAGCGTGGAGCCCGTGATGAGGATTTCAACAAGGGATTGAATATGGTTGCTGTATTAGAACAATGGTTCTCAAGTGTGGTCCCCAGACTAGCAGCATCAGCATTACCTGGGAACTTATTGGAAATGCAGAGTCTCTGG